GACGACCGAGGACGACCGACCTCGACGGACGACGACGGACGACGACGGTGACGACGACAATGACCGACGACCGACGACCGACGACAGACGACCGATGACATCCGACGACGACCGACGACGACCAACGACGACCGAAGCGCAGCGACGACCACAACGACGACGACGGCGACGACGACGCGGGTGGCCGAGCGGGCGGGAATGCGGATGCTAACGGGCGGGTCGGGTCGGGCGGATCCTAACTTGCAGGAAGGGGCGAGCGGGCGGGAAATTACAGTGTGGTTCATAATCGAACTGGCACGCGGGAATCCGTCGTCGAATCCGATCGTCGTCGTGGTCGTCGCTATTTGCGGCCATTCTGACTTACCTGCGGGGAGAGAGAGGTATACGGGGGGCGTCGTCGGAGTCGTCGTCGTTCGCAGTCGCCGTCGCCGTCTTTCGCCGTCGCCGTCGTCGTCGTCGTCGTCGTCGCGGTCGTCGATCGTCGGTCGTCGGTCGTCGGTCGTCGGTCGTCGGTCGTCCGGCGTCGGTCGTCGGAGTCGTCGTCGTCGTCGTCGCGGTCGTCGGTCGTCGGTCGTCGGTCGTCGGTCGTTGGTCGTCGGTCGTCGGTCGTCGGTCGTCGGTCGTCGTCGTCGTCGTCGTCGTCGTCGTCGTCGTCGTCGTCGACATCGTCGTCGTCGTCGTCGGCGTCGGCGTCGTTCGTCGGCGTCGTCCGTCGTCGTCGTCGCCGCCGCCTTTGTCGTCGTTGCCGTCTGTTCGCCGACGCCGCACCCGTCGATCATCGTTGTCGTCGTTGTCGTCGTTCGTCGCCTTCGTCGTGGTTTGCAGGCGGCGAGTAGTGAAGGGGGGTTCGACCCTCCGTTGCAACCCTTACAGCATGATGCTGTGAGGCTCTGTGAGGCTTGTGGGCAGCCCGGGCCGGCGCGCAGCACGGGGACTGTCAACCAAATTCGCCTTGCGTGGCAAGCGCGCGCGCACGCGCGCGCACAAGGTTGCATTTGATCATGCTCGTGGGAAGGAGCCGTGGACAGGCTCGGGCCCAGAGATGCCGAAGGCCCGATGTTGGTAGGGCCGCACGCTGGCCCGACTCCAGAAGAAAGGCGTCCTCGGATAATCGCCGGTGCTAGCGAAAGGGAGGGGGTTCGCACCACCCCCCCTTCCAGCGGTCACAGAAAGCGCTCTTTTCGACATGGGGAAAAAGAATTGGACTGAGACGAGGCCAGAATCGAGACGGATCGGGACTAATCTGATATCTCTGGGATCCGGCGGTTCTGTGTCAGGGAAATTGCTCCGAGTTTCTGAATAAGCGTCGGGGGGGCGCCACCCCCGCCGACAGCCCCGCATCGACCCGCGTCGCGGGCAGCCACCGCGCGCCGAAGGCGCTCCGACCCCTGTCGCGGCGCAACGACGAGGCGAGGTTGACCCCCGTCGGGGGGGGTCCCCCCACGCTTATTAAAAAACTCAGGGTAGACCAGCGGCGTACTGAATGATGGAAGAGGCCAAGTTTCCAAATCTCGGGCCTTCCAGGAGCCCCTTCCTTGGGCCCAGGGCCCACAAAGCACGGATCACAGCGATCGACACACACTGCCAGAGGCACACTGCAGTAAATCAGGGCGTCGGAACTCGGGAACATCACGAGGGAAACCTCTGCTCCCGAGAGGCCCAAGAGAGCCCCAAGAGCACCCCCGAGATGGTCCCAAGAGGCCAAAGCGTCGTCGTCGTCGTCGTCGTTGTCGTCTCGTTGTCGTCGACGTCGTCGTCATCCCCCTTCAGGGTCTGCGGCACCGGCCGTAAGGCCTTCGCAATCAGAGCGTCGGAACTCTTGAACTTCACGAGGGCAACTTTTACTCTCCAGACGCCAGCCAGGACGCCCGTGTCGGCGGGCCCAGGGGGCGCAACGAGTCTGCCCCGGGACGGGGCCAGAGAGCTCCGAAGGCCTGGGTCGTGAGGCGTGGGCTGCAGGTGCAACGCTGACTGTGCGGCACATCACATAACGAGTAGAACCACTGCCCTCTCGTCGCTGCGCCCAGCTGAGCCTGCGGCGTCAGCTGTTCGAGGAAACCACTAACCCACGCTGTACGATAATCTGAACGAACGACACTTTATGAACTAAGACTGCATATACATGTGGCGGCGAACACAAATGGGCCAGGGGAGGAGGAAGGCTTCTAAGCAGGAGGCCGCTTCTTAGAAGAGGCAGGCCTAACATCTTACATCTAATAGACAAGGCCGGCGCCTTCTGAGAAGCAGAAATGTGTCTGAGAAGCCTTCTCCCCTCCTTCTACCCCCTCTGCGCGTGGCTGATGCCTGTCCCACTGTCCACTTAAAAGCAGTGGGCCAGAATGTCAGCACCAGCGCTGGGACCGACAACACTCTATTCAAACTAGACATTTCCACATTTCATAAAATGAGACGAGCGCCAAGGCATCGAAAATCGAGGTGAATCATGTTCTGGACGATCGTGCAATCTTCCGAATGCAATACTCATGGGCAGCCGCTGCATGGGATGGCTAAGACCTACGATCTCGGACGGCGAACTATCCTACAGATGCGATCCCCCCACCTCTCGCTGGGCACTTTGAATCCAGAAGTCACACAGCGGAGATGGCTGCGATCTCTAAGCGCGACTCTCGGGACGGGCGGGGAGGTCAGACTTCTACTTCTGCAGCGTGTTCGTTCCATGACAGACTGCCAGGCGCGCTGCTGATGGGCCGGCGCGCGCCACACCACGGATTCATCATCCACTGCAGGATCTGCCACCCTGAAAGCGCAAGCGCTGTCGGCGGGTGGCGCGTGAAGGTGCCCACAAGTCTAGTCCTGGTGCGACTTCATACCGCCACAGCATGTCAACAAGAAAGCGGGTCAAGAGCATGAACCCCTTGCCGAAGGCCGGGATTCCCAAGGAAATGACTGAAATAAAGGCCATGCCAAGGCGACGAACCCAAACCCGAATGCAAAACCGAGCCTGGGCTGTACCCTTGGGCAAGGCTATCGCGCGGGTGGCACATCGGGTGGGCAAGAACAGCGAGCGCTTTGGTGCGACTGACGAACGTCAGAGCTCAACCCTGCGGACGCGTGGCACGGCGGAGTTTCTCAACCTGCGGTTGGGGGCGACGTGTGGTCTTCTACGTATCAACCCTTTGGGCGCCCGACACTGAGAAGATCCACGCACAATGTTCCACAATCCGTGACAGTATCAATACGACAAGAAATGTGATTGTAACCATATTTGCATCGGATCTTCCTGCATCGACATGGCGTGGTTACCGACTGGGATCAGCCGCGCCCAGGTACACAACAACGCCACACAAACACCGGGCCGCACTGAATCGTCGGAGTATCGAAAAGAATCGTACCGGGTCGCAAATGACGATGCCTCTCTTGGCGACGCGCGCAAAGGGTCGCGCGAGGAGGACCCCCCTCAAAAAAATGCACACCGGAATCGAATCGGAGCGCGATGGCCGAAGTCGATATCGAACCAAATCGGCCCGACCGATATGGACCGTGCGCTATGGAACGACGTGTTTAGCAAGACCCAGTATCATCCCAATCCCTACGATGAACGGACAAACCCAAAGACGGTGACAACCTGGGGATGCGCCGTCAATATACGAAGGAACCCTTGAGATCGGCATCGGAGTAAGTGGATGCAAGTCATATTGAAGGGGGACATGCTCCAGGCCGAAAAGTTTCCGTCCTCGAAGCGAAAACCACGTCGGCGAGCGGCACACCCGAGCCTCGCAAACTTCTTGCGCTGGCGGCTAGGCAGAGTAACTGCGCTGGGGCACCGTTGTGGCGAGTTGTGCCACAATGCAGGAAAAAATGAAAAAGCGGAGCAGGGCAAAGGAAGGGGAGGAGGAGCGAGGGCCGCTCAAGGGGACGGGTCACACCCAGAGCGCGTGGCGCGGCCGGCCCCGCCGCTGGGGCGCAGTGCGGGTACCAGAGGAAATCCAGTGGGCCGAGGGTGCGGTGCAATCAGTGCCTTGGCTACCAATTGGTGGCTGCGTGTCCCCCAAGGGCCCAAGGTGGGAGTGCGGGTGCGGTGTGCCCAACAAGATGCTGGGCCGCAGAAGCGGCGGGCGGCAAGACCAAGCCTGGGGCCCCAACGCGGCGGTTGCAAGCAGACAATCTGCGCCATGTCGGCGCGCGGAAGGAGGGAGAGCGAACGGGGAGGGCGGAAACGGACCCCGCCTGCAGAAACCCACAGGTGGGGCGGCGGCGCCGGGCAGCAACGGCGGCGCTGGGCTGCACCACCCGCGCGTGGAGGGCAAGCTGGAGGAGACAACGCCCTGCCTGCGCCCAGCGGGGGCTCCTGGGGGGCCTCCCGCTGTCCAGGTGGACAGGGTGAGCCCGCCGCGAGCCGGGCGGCCAGAGGAACTGGAAACTGGCAGCAGCGCCCAGAGAGCGGACGGGCGGCAGGGGCGGTCCCCCGATCGGGGGGGCAGAAAAGGGAGGCACCTAACCGGTGCGCGGCGATGTGTAAGTGAGAATTGGCCCTCCTGCCCGGGTGGACAGGGTGGGCTGATGGGGGACAAGGGCTGCCACCACCGTCAAGGTAGACGGCAGTGGGCGCGCCTTGGCCAGCCAAAACTGGCCGAAGCCAGCGCCCCCAGCCCAGCGGGCAAGGGAGGGGCAGGCGGGGGGGCACATGACTGGAGCACGGCGGTAAGAGTGAGAGGCACGGCCCCCCTGCCCGGGTGGACAGGGTGGGCCACAAGGGAAACAAGGGTGACCACCGCCGTCAAGTAGACAGCAGCGGGCGCGCCTCGGAAACTCAAAACTGCCGCAGACACCAGCGCCCCCAGCCCAAGCGGGCAGGGGAGCGCGAGCGAGGGGGAGCACCTAACTGGTGCGCAGCGACGGAAGTGTAAGAGGCTGCCCACCTGCCTGGGTGGGCCACAGTGGGGAGGACAAGGGCGGTCACCACCGACCTTGTCCTCCCCACCGCGGCCCACCAGAGCCTGAAAAACATATGTTGCAGGACGCGCTGGCCGAAGACCACATCGAATCGGATCGGCCAGTCCGACATGGACCGTGCGTTCTGGAGCGACGTGCTGTCCTCCTGGTGAAAGCCACGTCGGAGAGTGGCACACCAGAGCCTCACAACAAACTTTGCAGGACGCCCTGCGACGCTAGCCGCAACAAGCCGCCGCGACCGCGCGGGGCCGGAGCTCCAGGCGCTGCCTTTTGAGCCGATTGTGTCCGCATGCAGATCTCAAAAAGGGCGGGCGGCACACCCGACTCCGAGGAGCTGCGAGATTCCAGATGTGAATCTCTAGACGGGCACAGGACACACACATAAACCAATAGGCACAAGCCCACCGACTCCAAATATCTTCCCATATTTTCTTGAATTCCATCTTCCTCTCCACTTCCTTTATACCCAAACCCAAAAATCCTGTGCTGTTGGGTCCTCGTTTTGAAGAGACTCTGCCCCGCGTCGCCTATCCTCTTCTCCTCTCCTCTCCTCCACCCTCATCAATTCCCAGCCTCTGCTCTTCGCACATCATCATCATCATCATCATCATCATCATCATCATCATCATCATCATCAGCATCAGCATCAGCATCAGCATCATCATCATCATCATCATCATCATCATCATCATCATCATCATCATCATCCTCATCATCATCATCAGCAGCAGCAGCAGCAACATCAGCATCATCAGCATCAGCATCAGCATCAGCATCAGCATCATCATCATCATCATCATCATCATCATCATCATCATCATCATCATCATCATCATCATCATAAACATCATCACCAGCAGCATCGTCGTCATCATCAGCACCAGAAGCAACATCAGCATCATACTCATCATCATCAGCAGCATCATAATCATCAGCGTCAGCATCAGCCTAATCGTCGCCATCATCATCATCATAATCCTCATCAGTATCAGCATCATCATCATCATCATCATCATAATCATCATCAGCATCATCGCCATCATCGTCATAATCATCAGCGGCATCATCATCATCAGCGGCATCACCATCAGCATCATCAGCAGCATCGGCATCAGCATCGTCGACATGGTCATCATTATTGGCAACAACCAAATCGTCATCCCAATCATCACCAGCAGCACCATCAGCATCATCATCAACAGCATCATCACCACCACCGCATGAGCATCATCCTCCTCATCATCATCATCATCATCATCATCATACTCATCATCATCAGCATCAGCATCAGCAGCATCATCACCACTACTACGATCATCAGCATCAACATCCGAATCAGCATCAGCATCATCAGTATCATACTCATCGCCATCATCGTCATCAAACTCACGATCATTACCAATCACATCATCTAAATCAGCATCAGCAGCAACATCATCATCATCAGCAGCATCATCATCATCATCCTCATCATCATCATCAGCATCATCATCATCATCCGCATCATTACCAGTATCATGATCATCCTAATCAGAAGCAGCATCATTGCCGCCAACAGCATCATCACCACCACCAGTAGCACCATCAGCCTCAATATCAGCAGCATCGACATCGACATCATCAGCATCATAATCAGCAGCATCGTCAGCATTCTCAGCATCATCATCACCACCAGCACCATCATCATCATCGTGATCATCATCATCAGCATCATCGTCAGCACCATCATCATCAGCACCATCAGCACCATCACCATCATCAGCATCATCAACAGCATCATCATCATCATCGTGAGCGTCATCATCACGCACGTTTCGGCACACTGGCTGCATTGGAAACTCCAACTGAAGCCTCACTGGCACCGTTCGTATGTGGGCTTCGCCCCCGTTCCTGCACACCTCTCACACGTTCCGTGGCCCCATATGTAGCTCCAACTGAGGACCCAATGGCACCGTTCGCGTGTGGGCGTCACCCCCGTTTCGGCACATCCCACAGTTTGCCCAACCCTCCTTGGTTGGGTATTCGTTGGGAATCGAGCACTGCTCGCGCGTCATTCCTCTCGCCTCCTCCCTCCTCCTGCCCTCTCTTCGCCGTCTCTGGGGGGCTGCGATCTGCGAAACTGTCGCCACGTTCGAGGGCTGCTGGTGGGTCCAGCGGAGTGAGGCACCGCGCAGACCTGAGGCAGACCTCGCCGTCCCTGGGGGGCTGCGGGCTGCGAAACTGTCGCCACTTTCGAGGGCTGCTGGTGGGTCCAGCGGAGTGAGGCACCGCGCGGACCTGAAGTAGACCTCGCCGTCCCCTGGTAGGCTGCGATCTGCGAATCTGTCGCTACTTTCGGGGGCTGCTGGCGGGTCCAGCGGAGTGAGGCACCGCGCGGACCTGAGGTAGACCTCGCCGATCTGCGCAACTGTCGCCACGTTAGAGGGCTGATGGCGGGTCCTGCGGAGTGAGGCACCCCGCAGACCTGAGATAGACCGCGCCGTCCCTGGGGGGCTGCGATCTGCGAAACTGCCGACACGTTCGAGGGCTGCTGGTGGGTTCAGCGGAGTGAGGCACCGCGCAGAGCTGAGGTAGACCGCGCCGTCCCTGGGGGGCTGCGATCTGCGAAACTGTCGCCACTTTCGGGGGCTGCTGGTGGGTTCAGCGGAGTGAGGCACCGTGCAGACCTGAGCGAGACCTCGCCGTCCCTGGGGGGCTGCGATCTGCGAAACTGCCGACACGTTCGAGGGCTGCTGGTGGGGCAAGCGGAGTGAGGCACTGCACAGACCTGAGCGGGACCTCGCCGTCCCTGGGCGGTTGCTGCCCCGCCGACGTTTCAAACCACTTGCCCAGAGTCTCCTTTTGGACCTTGCGTCTTCCTTAGTGAGTCCGGGGTTCACTGAATTACTCATCGTGTTCCCCTTGGTTGGGGACTTGCGAACCTTCCGGATGCCGCTCGCAGAAGTATATGCGTCCATGTCACATCGCCGCCTTCTCGTCAAATCTTCCAAGCTACTCCTGCCCCGCATTGCACAAGGGTTGGGCACGTCGCCAGGGTAACGTGCGTGGCCCAATGGGGAGCTCCAGCTAAGGTCCCAGTGGCACCGTTCGCATGCGGGCGTCAACCCCGTTTCGGAACACCCCTCACACGTTTCGTGGCACCATAGGGAGCTCCAGCTAAGGCCCCAGTGGCACCGTTCGCACGCGGGCGTCACCCCCGTTTCGGAACACCCCTCACACGCTTCGTGGCCCCATAAGGAGCTCCAGCTAAGGCCAAAATTGCACCGTTCACATGTGGGCGTCACCCCCGTTTCGGCACACTCATCACACGCTTCGTGGCCCCATAGGGAGCTCCAACTAAGGCCCTAGTGGCACCGTTCGCATGTGGGTGTCACCCCCGTTTCGGCACACCCCTCACACGTTTCGTGGCCTCATAGGGGGCACCAACTAAGGGCCCAGTGGCACCGTTCGTACGTGGGCGTCACCCTCGTTTCGGCACACCCCTCACACAGTTCTTGACTCCACAAAGAGCTCCACCTAAGTCCCAGTGACGCAACCCGCATGTGGACGACTCTCGCTTTTTGCAGGCACACACCTCACACGTTTCGTGGCCCCATAGGGAGCTGCACCTACGGTCCCAGTGGCGCAGCCCGCATTTGGGCGACACGTTAGTTTCGGTACACCCCTCGTGGCTCCACAGGGAGCTTCACCGAACGCCCCAGTGGCACAGCCAGCATGCGGGCGATGCCACATAGGGAGTTCCACCTCAGATCGTACTGACATTTGCGGTACTCACAACTACATATGGTTGGTTTCTTCGCCTGGCTAAGTTTCTGCATTTACCTGATAATCGACGATTCAATGTCTCTGTGTGTTTGTGTCTCCTGAAGGGAGCGGGCAACACGCCGATCGCGAGGAGCTGCGTCCTGGCACGATGTGCCAGCGCCACAGTTTCGCCCCAATCCGAGTGCGACACGCCGTGCCAGGCCCAGCAAGCACAACCATCCTCATTTCCCGTGTCCTCCCCTGTTTATGCGGGTTCTCTGGGGAACTTCGGACTGACCCTTGCGACCGACGAGAATTACCATTTAGTGGCTAGTGGCCTCTAGCGGCCTGTAGCGGCCGTTTAGTGGCACTTAGTGCACTGAGTGGCCTCTAGTGGCCCCGCAAATGACCATTTAGTGGCACCTAGCGGCCGCTACTGGCTCCGAGAATTACCATTTAGTGGCACTTAGTGGCCGTTTGTGGCTCCGACACTTACAATACCACGAAGCGGCACTTAGTTGCCCGAGATCTAGCATTTAGCGGCACTTAGTGGCCGTGAGTGATTCCGAGACTGATCATTTAGTGAGGCACTTAATGGCCGTGTAGCCCCATCTGGGCGAGGGCTCGGGGTCGCCGACCTCCGCGAAACCACGGGCGCGTGAAGGAGACCGCCGGCCCCATCGGGACCGCAAGCGGTCGTGCCGCTAAGTGCCGCTAAGTGCCGCTATCTTCAAATAACAACTCAATTCGAAAACAATATACAATTCTCAAAGTTGGCCACATAACCGTGTCGCTCGTTCTAGGAAACCCGTGTCCGCAAACCAACCACGACCAGGTAGTAGTTTCAGCGTTGTCGTCAAGCCCTGGACAAGCATGAAAACTGAGTAGCTCGGTAGCTTGTGACTCCCATGTCCCGCGCACAGGAGGACGGGTGCTCACACTGCCGCCTTCTGAACAACCCCTGCCGTGATTGCTTCCCGTGCAGACCGTTCGACACTGGCCGATTCCAGGCCACGGGCGGCGCTCAACCTGGAACGCTCACGCTGGGGTCGCATCCGCGTCGACGCGGCACGAACATATGATAAACCAGGACATTGTCGCACCCGAGAAACCCGCAACCGTGGACCGAAGCATCCTCCGATATTCGTCATCTCCCGCTGGATCTGGCAAAATCATGGTTTGCATAGATTTTGTTTCTGGGGCCAAGACCCCGCCGCACTCAGCTGCGCACCCACGTCATTTCCGCTCAACTTCGAATGAGGGCAGCGGGTCCTGAGGGAAACGAGTCCTAAACCTCAAGGGCTCTACACACGACCACTACCCTGAGTCGTGTGGGGACGGTCCTGGGACCCCGGGAGGGCTCCAGGAGCCTGAAAGCTGCTAAAGCAAACACCCGGACCCATGTCCCTCAGGGCCCGCCTGCGTCACGGCGATCACTTTCGCAGGGACGACTGGCCGACCCCTGAGGCCCAGGCAGGCCGCCGCCGCTGCCCAGCGGCCGCGCACATGTGGCGCAAGGCCGCCCGGTGCGCGCGCGGCCCGCCACCCAGGACGCGCTGACGGCCAGGGGGGGCGGGGCAGGAGCGACGACGGCGACGGCGGCGGCGGCCCGCAGGCACGGCGACTGCACACCGTGGCGGCGGCGCCGCCGCCGCCGCCGCCATTCGTAGCTGACGCCGTCGTCGCCGGGGGGGGGGAGGCACTGGCGGCGGTGGAGCGGGGAAGGAGCTCCGCGGGCTCTCACGGGGCACGCGACGCACCCCTGCTGTCCGTCACGCTTCGCGGCAAGTTCACGCCGTGACGACTTCGGCGTCTGCCGCTTCGTGTGGCGACGGCGACGAAGGCATCACGTCGACGTCGTCCTCGTGTGGCGAGGGGCGGGGCACGCTGCGCGTTCCTGCTGCCAGTCCCTCAGACCTGAGCGTCGCTTTCGGCTTCGCGGGGCCGTCTCGTGGCCCCAGGACGACCAACAAAACTACGCAGGACGAATAGCCGATCCCTGGGAGGAGGTCTAGATGTCGAGATCTCAGGGGGCCCACGTCGAGAAAACAAATGCATCGGAGGAAAGGGTTAAGTATGGGGCCTTCTGCCCCCCTACCCCCAGAAGGAACAGACTGGCCCGCTTGGTCGCCGACTGGAAAGGATCTGATTCAATACGGACGCGCGTGGAGCCCCCGTCTGCACGATATCATCGCGGCCTCGCGCACTCAATCACCTGGAAGCACTCAGAACACTAGACTAAAGCCTCGGACGATCGAGAAGCCCCCCACGCAAGTGAAGGCAACTGTGGCCGCATGTCGTGCGGACGACTTGGCCAGAACGGGCCGTTGGAGAATACGGGCCTGGGTAGGAGCATGAAATGGGAAGGCGGTCAAAGCAGATCGAGTTCTGGGCATCCCCCAAGAAAGGAAGGCGAAAGGACCCCCTTTTCGATTGTTGATGCAGGCTGGCGTTTACAACAAATTGGAATCTGCGACTCCAGCAATAGCCGAGGTCAGCGAACAGCCTGCAAGCGCTTGGGGAATAGAAGGGAGGGTAGCAGCAGGAGGAGCAGAGCAGAAGTTGGCCGCGCGCACAAGGTAGGAGGGGGGAAGGGGCGGAAGGCTTCTTGGGAGGCTGTTTCTTGGAAAGCGCTGGCCTTACATCGATATAGACAAGGCCCGCGCCTTCTAAGTAGCAGGGGTGCTTCTAAGAAACCTCCCCCATTTCCCCCATACACCCCACTGCGCGTGGCCGAAGAAGAGGAGCCCATGCAATTGCCGGGTTCAGTCATCTGGGCCTCCTCGTGTCGCGCATGGCGCCCCGTGCTGTGCGACGCGCACCCTCGCGAGGCCTCCTCGAAAGGGCTCGTCTCCGGACCAGGCCGCGACCCGTCAAGGGTGGCTATCCTCGTGCCCATGGGGGCGATCCAGGCCACGCACTGAGGCAATTTGAAGGCGACCAGGGACACACAAATGAATAGACACAAATCCCCGGATCCCCCATCTGTTCCATAGTTCCTGGATGTTCGTCTTCCCCTCCACTTCCCACAGGTCCCATACTTTTCTGGGCATCGGCGATTCTTTGTGTCTGTGTGTGTTTCCCCCTACCGACAGTTGACGCTGGACTGGCCGCCGCCTCTCCCCGACAGAGGCAGGTCCTACACGACGAGGAGCCCCCACGCGCGGCGCATCGCCCCCGCCCCTTCCCACGGGTCGTCAAAGACGATGCCCTGACTTGTTCAGCACGCGGCTCCCGGAAATCCCGACCCTCTCCCCGGGGCCGGCTGTTCATCCCTGGGTCGTGTTCTGGTCGTCTCGGGGCCCGGCGAGGGCTCCCCGAGGCCGAACACAGCCCAACGCCCCTGTCGCGGAGGAGGACGACGATGAGTCTTGAGCGAGGAAAAGGTGGAGGAAAGGGAGGAGAAAGACAAGGACGAGCCTGGAACGAGGGGGACGAGCCTCAAGCGGGGAGGAGGACGAGGAGGCGAGCCTGTCTGGTGGGTACCGGCCAGCGCTTGCTGGGCTGAACAAGAGGCGCCCGCGCGCGGTCTTTTGTCGGCGACTCAAAAGTGTCTGTGGCCTGCAAGGGGTGCGGCTTGCAACCAGCACCCTGGGGGGGACCCTGGGGGGGCGGGCGAGGACCTCGACAGAGCTCTCCGCCGCGCCCCGAGGAGGCCCGATGAGGACAGCGTCGTGCTCCCCAGGCCCCAATGGTGCCGCTCGCAAGCCACACCCCCGGCGTAGCCATACCCTTTGCAGTCGCCGATTTTTGTCGGCGCGCTCCTCGGCAGGTCCGCCCCCCTCTGGCCGGCGGGGCCTTCGCCCTCCTGTAGGACGCCGGGCGTGGGGCTGGCCCTGGAGGCGGGACTGCTCGGGTGCCCCTTTCTCTCTCTCTCTCTCTCTCTCTCTCTCCCTCTCTCTCTCTCTCTCTCTTTCTCTCTCAAGGGGCCAAGAGGGGTACTGACAAAGAGACACAAAGATTCCAGGCCCTCCCCTGCCAGCTTTTTCTAGATGTTCTGGCTGTTCCTCTTCCCGTCCACTTCCCAGACAGCCAGGCCCAGGACAGAAAAACATGCTTCAAGAACATGAGACCCTCCGCGTGCCAAACTGAAGAACCTTCGAGAGCACCCTTCCCCAGGATGCACAATAACGTGCAGCAAGCACGAAAAACACTAGGGTACCCTCCCCGAACCGACCTCGACCTCATACCTCGGTCCGACCGCAGGTTAACAGTTTCATACCAGCCTGCCTTTGCTTGTCTCCCTCTCGCTTGTCCCTCCTGGCTCTCCCTCTTCTGGCGGCGCGAAGGACAGGGGGTGGCACGCTGGGGGCGGCCTCCTATCAGAGGGCGGGGTGCCTCTCAGGCATGAGGGGTCCCAGGGACGCGCACATAATATAAATACCTACAAATCCCAGGATTCCGATACGTCTCCCATACTTTCTGGATATTCATCTTCCCCTCCACTTCCCATATTTCCCATATTTCCCTGGGAGGCCGTACCTATTCGGGTCTGTGTGTTGCTGTCCCTCCTGAAGGAAGGCGGAGGCCTTCCCAGAGGGGAGGGAGATTCCAGGGGGGCTTCTTGGAAGCCCGGACGGCTTTGCAGCGGTAATCCCACAGCCCTGCCACACGCTCGTGATTGCGGAAGCTGGGGTGGTGAGACCACCATGGCCATGCTCAGCGTTTTTAATGCTGTTGCTAGTCAAAATGAGATGATAGCAACTTCGATTCGCAACCTTCCCCTTGGATTATAAAGTACGGACTTCGCGCCACCCAACACGGGATTAAAAAATAGGAGGGGGAAAGGGGGAGGTAGACTTAATTATCGCCCGTGCTCGGTTACGTGTTTTTTCGCGGCGGGGCGGCGGGGATTCGAGGGGAGTGGCCGGGGTTTTCTGATTGCTTCTGGTGGTGATACAAATTAGACGAGTCCGTCACAATGCCGACGTGACGAACAATGTCTGGGACTGCATCTGTCGAAGCATGACTCTGTCTCTTCTCCCTCGCCTTGGCGGCGCGCACGTGGCGCGACGGGGGTCGACTTCTAAGAAGCTTTGGAGGCTCCTTAGAATCTTAGAAGGCAGAAAGCTTCTCAAAAGCCATTCCAGCTTCTTGGAAGCTTCTAAGCCCTTCAGAGAAAGCCCCCGCCTTCCAGGATCAGCCAGCATCGAATCGAGAAATCGGGTCGGATTGGAAGAGGCATCGGATTGTGCCAAATCCGCACGGAATCCAAATCGAATCGGATCGGCCGCGCAACGATGGACAACAACGCCATGCAAACGTCAGGTCGGATCTGGCTGGCCGGAACCGATGTCGAATCCAACCGGTCAGATCCAAATGAGCCCTGATTTCGTGAAGGCCACCCGCTCGAGGAGGGCGCAACCTCTGGTAGCACAGGGACCACATCTCGTCTGCCGCGCTCCGCCGTCTCGAGACCAGCACCGGAAAGGAGATCGCAATCTCGCGCACCCGGACGGGAATCTCACGGACTCTATCAACCCTGACCGCCACACTAACGATCTGTTATGGGCGAGCCTGATTGAAAAAGTTGAACAGGCAGGCATGATCGAAACACTAAATTTGTGGACTCGACGAGACGGTTCGAATCGACTTATCGCGCGGCACTTTTCTAGAGTGGAGGTCAATAGCACGAGAGCCCCGAGTGCGTCACCCTGGGGCACCGAACCAACCCAGAGGACTTCTCGCGGAGCGCGCCTCTGACCAGGACATCGAAGCTAGAAGCCACCCAAATGGGGTCCGAAGAAATGGGATCGGAAGATCACGCCGCACCGCCGATGCATCGCGGATGCAGCGGCGATGCATCGGCGATGCATCGGATAGGCTGCCGATGCATCGCCGCCGTCGACGTGAAGAGAATCGGGCTCCACATCGAGCCGCATCGCCGATGCATCGGCGATGCGGCGCGATCCTCCTACCCCATCTACTCGGATCTCGTTTCAAAGGCCTAGGGCCGAGGCAGGCGAACGCAGCCGTGGCGTCGAGGGGCCCCAAGAAACCCGAGAAACAGCGAAAGACGACAGAGATCCTGATCCGCCTTCCCCTCCTCCCACCCCGGGCCGAGATCTGGGCCGACCTCTGCGTACGCGAGCGCGGCGCGGCGGGGGCTGCTTCTTAGAAGAACAGACAGCTGCAAAATCACAGACTTTCTCAGGCCCGTGCGGATTCCACGAGTCGGCGCTGGGCCCTCCCTCGCGCGTGGAGCGTGGAGCGCGCCAGGTGCATCCGCCAGAGGAGCGCAGCGCAGAAATCCGCGTAGACCCTCGAAAATCTGTGCTCATGCCGCTTTGCCCTCCTTCGAACTGTGTGCGCCGGCTCATCCGGGCGCCCCCGCCCCTGGCGGCCCAGCGCAGCCGGGGCTGGCGAGCAGCGCGCCTGGGGAAATTCAAAGACACCGATACCGCTCCTCCCTGGACCTCCACGGTTTGCGTTCTGACCAGAATTCCGAGGCGAATCCAGCGTTTGCGACGAGGGCCTCCCAAGAGGCCGAAAAAGGCGCAAGCGAGGCCAGGGTGGCAGCAATAAATACTGGTACCTGTTCCTCCTCTGAGCGCCGTGGGCGCTGTTGGGCAGGAGACTGTCTGTCTCAAATGGATAACGCCCGCGACGACATACCGACAGCGAATCCTGTTCAAGATTAACTGTTGTCGATCTTCGTGCACATTCTTTCCGTACCCGTCAGTCGGAAGAAGTGGGTAGATGCATGAAGTAGGAAGGCTTTGAAAGTAAATTGGCCTTCCAACCACCCCCTGAAGAGGAGGGAAGAGGGGCAACCACTCGACTCTTGAAGTAGGAGGGCTGCCAAAGTAGATTGGATCTGGGGCATCCAGAAACGACCCACTTTCAACGGCCGACGGGTACGCATTTCGACCGTACCGATCTGAGCGCCGTGGGCTCCGCTGGTCGAGCCGCCGCGCCGCTGCGGCGGCGGCGACAGCAGGGGCAGCGACCGCGCGCTGCTGGCCCCGGAGGCGGAGCGCAGCGCGCGGGAGGCCGGGCCCTCGGGGGGCGCCAGCCGCGCGCCGGCACGGGGTGCGCTCGCAAGGCGCGACCACGAGGCCGCGTGGTGTTTTGTCGGCGAGGGCCCGGGTTCCCAGACCCCCCTGGGGTCACGAGAGAATCGCGACGGAAGCTTTTTGTCGCTGTTTGCAGCCTCGGGGGGGCTCTTGCCGGGCCTCGGGACGGGCAAACGAGGATCCAGGATTACGCTACCGAGGAACCCCACATACTCAATTCATGCTTGATACATGTTGCCAACGATACTGCTAACACTAAGACCACTGGTAAGACTACCAGCACTACTACTGGGACGGGCCAGCGGGCCAACGGGCCGTTGGACAATCTCCGAAAGGACAGCGCGTTCCTGTGCGACAGACACGACAGTCTGGGCGCTTGGCAGCCGGACTGAGGGAACACCCAGCGCGCATCTCCCATGGTGTCGAGAAAGTGCCACGCCTGCTGCGCCTGGACGACCAGGGCGCATGACACCCGCGCTCAGGGACCACCCCCTGCGCACACCCTGTGGTGTCGAGAAAGTGCCACGCCTGCTGCGCCCTGGACGACCGGGACGCATAGCGGCCGCGATCAGGGACCACTCCCTGCGCACCTCCGATGGTGTCGAGAAATTGCCACGCCTGTTTTGCCTGTACGACTGAGGCGCATAGCGGCCGCGCTCAGGGACAACCGCCTTCGAAACCCCAATGGTTTCGAGAAAGTGCCACGCATGCTGTGCTTGGACGACCGGGGCGCATAGCAGCTGCGCTCAGGGACCCCCCCTGCGCACCCCGGACAATGTCCAGGAAGTGGCACGCCTGCTGTGCCTGAACGACCGCGACGCATAGCCGCCGCGCTCAGGGATCAGCCACTGAGCACCCCTATGGTGTCGAGAAAATGCCACGCCTGCTGTGCCTGAAAGACCAGGGCACATAGCACCCGCGCTCAGGGACCAGCTCCTGCGCACCCCCGAGGGTGTCGAGAAAGTGCAACGCCTGCTATTCCTGGACGACCGTGGCGCATAGCAGCCGCGCTGACGACCGGTGCGCACAGCAGCCGCGCTCAGGGACCACCCACTGCGCACCTCCGATGGTTTCGAGAAAGTGGCACGCTGGCTGTGCCCAGACGACCAGTGCGCATAGCGACCGCGCTCAAGGGCCACCCACTGCGCACCGCCGACGGTGTCGAGGAAAAGGCACGCCGGCTGTGCCTAGACGATCGGTGCGCATAGCGGCCGCGCTCAAGGACTACCACCTGCGCACCCCCGATTGTGTCGAGAAAGTGTCACGCCTGCTGTGCCTGGACGATCGGGGCGAATAGTACCCGCGCTCAGGGACCATCTCCTGCGCACCCCCTGTGGTGTCGAGAAAGTGCCACGCATGCTACGCCCTGGACGACCGGGGCGCATGACAGCCGCGTTCTGGGACTACCCCCTGTGCACCCCCGACGGTGTCGAGAAAGTGCCACTCTGCTGTGCCAGAGCAGCCACGCTCATGAATCACCTCCTGCGCACCACCCCCGAGGGTGTCGAGACAAGGCCACCCCTGCTGCGCCCTGGACGACCGTGACGCATAGCGGCCGCGCTGAGGACCACCCCCTGCGCACCCCCTGCGGTGTCGGCCACGCACTGCGAATCCTACACGTATATGTATTGTGTATGGAGTGCCTTGTGTATGTGTCTGATGCGTATGCGGCTGTATGTTCAACGTGTGTCTCGATGTGGGTGCAGTGTATGTGTTGCGTGCGTCTGGTGTGTATGGTGCGCTGAACACGCCAGACACGATGTCCAGGAAAACGTGTGCACCAAACAACTGCGAGTATGTATGCGTGCATGCGTGCCGTATGCGCGCGTACGTGATGCATGCGAGCACATGTCTGATGCCGTCCCTCTCTTACCTGCGTGTGGTGTGTATGTATGCTGTGTGTATGGGCTGTATGTGTGCTGTGTATGCGAGCTGTCAGCGCTAGTGCAGGTAAGAAGGAGAAGAAGAGGGGGAAGAGGAGACGCGGGTGCGATGCGGAAGGAAAGAAAATCACAAGACACATGTGGGGAATTAGAAACCGGTGCCAGGGAAAGGGTCGAGAACTCTGAGGGTCCGCGTCATGAAAAATCATGAAGTCAGGGGTCTGGGTTCTCCGCTGGGAGGGGGGTCGGCCGACAACCCATCCTTTTCGCTTTGGGCAACCTCACGTGCGCCAGCGCGCACCTGCCGTAATCCTTTCCACCGTCGGACTGGCGCAACCGGCAGGGTCAGATTCTCTGGGGGGAGAGGGGGGGGACGGGTGGGCCCGACAACCCGGGTCATCACCGGACCCTTCAAAACACTCTCCACCCTGATCACTCAATGCCTAATCTTTACGGCCGCGGCCCACCATACAAGAAAACCCACCCATGCGCCGCACCATGTCCGGATTCTCTTCAGGCCGCTCCGACGCGGTACGTTGCATAGCTTTTCGGCCCCAAGGATCGAAATAAACTGTTCGCCGTGCCATTCCTGGGTCGAGGGTAGACGTCAAAGCGGTACGGTGCACGCAAGTCGTGACTCGGCACAGGACTGGTGCTGGCGCGCAGGTTGGCCGCCTCCCCCCCCGCCTTGCTCCAGTCTGCCCCCGCGAGCGCGGCCGAGAACTCCTGGCAAAGAAGGCGAGGGGCCCTGAGGGAAACGGGTCCTGGAGCTTGGGGGCCAGGCCCTTGGGCCACCTCGTCAGCCTGCGCCGTTCTCTGGCGATCCTGGGGCCCCAGGAGCCCGAAGGCGGCGAACAGATCCAAAACGCGCTTCCCTCGGAGAATCCGCTTGCTTCATGGCGAGCTCCTCGTGGCCTTGCGCCTGCACATGCAGCATCCTCTCGCGGAAGTCGATGGCCCCGCGGAAGGCCTCCGCGATCTCGGAACACACCGCCGCCTCGTCGTCGGGCGCGATGCGCTCGCCCGCCTGTGCCTCGCCGCGGGCCACCAAGTCGCCCTGGAGACCGTTTTTCCAGCAACCGCCCGGGCCATTCGCGGAGGGGCGATCGTGCCGGCCGATCACCCAACCCTGTCGCACTGGGCAGGCCCACGTGTGCCCGCGCGCCCCAGTACTGCGCACCATCGGACCGGCGCAACCGACAAGATCAGGTCATTCTCCGGGAGGGGCCGGAGGGGGGGCGCAGGCAGGCGGGCCCGAGAACCCATGGTGATTGCCGGACCCTCAAAACCACGGTATCCTGCCGCCGCGAGATCGGGAGGCCCTCGTCGTCGCTCTGCTGCCGCGAGAAGAGGGGGCCCTCGCCGCGACCGCCAGCCAGGCCCTCCGCCGCTGCGCCGGGCACGGCGTCGCCGGCTCGGCCTCTCCCGGGGAAGACGGCGGCGCACCGCTCCCCAGAGGCACTCGGCCGTGTGATTGCTCCATGCGCGGCCCCAAACAAAATCCCTTCCCCACCCGAATCATCCGCGACGATTTTTGTTGGTTGGTCGCGAACTTCTGTGCCAGTATCATCGCGACCAGTCGCCGCTCTCGGTCGCGAGCGGTCGCGAACGGTGCCAGATGTCGGTCGCGAGCGGCATTTCGGTCTGGAAGAGGAGGATGATCAGGATGAGAACGGAACACGGTGAGGAGAAGGAGCAGGGAGAGGAGAAGATCCGCAGGCAACCTAGAAAAGGTTCCCTGCGGGGTCTCACCGTGGACGTGACAATTACGAGGGGTCCTTGTTGATGTAAACGAATGTGCGCGTACAGAAGTACTTAACACAGGGTGAAGGGCGATGCCGGCTGGGATGAGGTAGAATGATGTCATGCGGAAAATGAACGGTCAGGCAAAGCCAGGAGCAAATTGCAATGACAAAAAGAGTGCCAATAACAACGGGAGGGGGTTTGGTAGAGTCGGTTCCTCCTTTGGGAGAAGAAGGTACGTGGTGAAAGCTATGTGGTGCAGGCCACGCGGCGCAAGCTATGTGATGGAAGCTATATTGCGCAATCCGCGTGGTACCCTATGCGCGGTGCAAGTTATGTGTTGTAAACTCTGTTGTGCAAGCTACGTGCTGCAAGCTATGTGGTGCAAGATACGTGGCGCAAACAACCTTGCAAAACGTGAAGTGGCCAACTCCGATGCTCGCGCAATCACTCAACCCATCCGTTCACAACTTGATCTGCATAACCCTTGCGGCCACGATTGCGGTGACTACTTGGCGTTGGCTGACGGATCCCTGCGGCTGCGCTAGCGCGCCCAAACTCGCGCGCAGAGCGGACAACTGGTTTGGCACAGCCGACGCGGCCGCGATGGCGCTTACTGACGGAACTTCCCAGCGCGTCTCAAAAGCCACGCCGGTTCGCGGCAACTTCAGGGCGGGTCAGTGACTCGGGCGGGCGCGGTATCATGATGATGCCGACAATGGTGGCAACGATGATGATAGCAGCAGTGGCGGCGGCGAGCATATTCAATGACGACGACAAGAGCAATGACGGCGCCGACGCTGATGACGACGATGACGATGATAGTGATGATGTCCATGCTTCGGTGATGAGGGTGATTGAATTAACTGGTGATGGCGGCAATGGCGGCGATCGCTGATGACGATCACGGCGATGATGCGGCGGGGTTGATGCAGATGATAATGCAGAAGTGCGCGCGTGGGAATTCCCCAAAGCATTGCAAACTGGTGGTTGACAAGCGGTTGGTGTGTCGTATGTCGCTGAAGAGCTGTACCGTGAAATGATTTGAAGACCAATGGTTAGGGAAGAAATTCGACACGCGCGCGTGGCGGCGCGTGCGTGTGGCCTGCATGGTATCATATGATACAGGCTCGTGCCTGGGTGTATGCTGGATCAACGAGGATGAACCGCATGGTCAGATGAGAATGCGAGTTCTGGGCGAGATTGAGAGCACCACATGGTTATCTCTTGATTGGCAGCGGATGCGCGCGGGCTGAAAATCAGCGAGAATTGTGCTGACAAGCCTACACCTTGTTACGCACTGATGTAGAAGCGTTTACAAACACATATATTCGGTATGATGTTGACACGTGCACGCGCTGAAGTAGGCTGTCATGGATTGCACAATCCGCTTGAAACTTTGACTCTGAGATAGATGGGTGTGCCCGCATGGTACTGTTTCACTGGGGTGCGGGGGGATACCCCGTTGGCTGGGATGGTATGCTTCTATGTGGAAAATAAACGATGGTGCAGAACACACTGAGATACCCCACCAGCCCTTTCGGCATAAATGGTGCACCGATGCCGTTCTTTCCCCTTCCAAAACCCTCTTCCATTCGGGAGGGGCCCCCTCCCCCTCCGGGGTTAGAGCTTCTAAGATGGCGCATGATGGCCTCACGAGAGCCTCCGATGCTACACGATGGCCTCCAAGATGGCCCACCATAGCCGAAGATATCTCAAGATGGCTACCATCATGCTCGAAGAGGCCCCACATCTCGCTCCAAGACAGCCCCAAGTGCTCTCGGAGCCCCTTCAGGGCCCCACCAAGAAGGCCCCACCGCATCTATGAAGTGTGCCTTCTTTAAACTTCCAGTGCACTTTTGAAGCCTCAAAGTAAACCCAAGATGGCCGAAGAAAGCCCCAAAGAGGGACCCAAGAGGCCCCAAGACTGCTCCAAGAGCGCCCAAATTCGCCCAAAAGGTCCCAGAAGGGGGGAGGCAAATCAGAGACCCCCCCCTTTGACCTACGCTCTACAAGATGGCCCCAAGAGGCCTCACAGGGCCCCCGGGAGGGCCTCAAGGGAGCCCCACAAAGGCCTCAAGTGGGCCCCAAAACACCGTGACACGGCCCTCTGACGACCCCAGGGCCTTCCAAAAGAGCCCCAAGAAGGCGCCAAGAGGACCCAAAGCAAACCCCAAGAGACCCCAAGAGTGCCCCAAGAAGACTCCAAGATGGTTCAAAGAGTTCTTGTTCTCGTTGTCCTCCTCCTCCTTCTCCTCCTCCTGTTCCTGCTCCTCCTTTGATTCCCCAACCCCCAACCATCCTGTGGTGTTGGGCCCTCGTTTTGAAGAGACGGTGCCCCGCGTTTATCTCCTCTCCTCCTCCCCTCCTCCCTCCCCGTCCTCCCTCCTCCCCCTCCTCTTTCCTCCCTGGGTTTCACCCACCTAGTACAATGCTTCGTGGCCCCATAGGGAGCTCCACCGAAGGCCCCAGTGGCAGGGTTCGCATGGCGGCCCCGCTCCATTTTGGCGCACCCTTCACACGGTTCGTGGCCCCATAGGGGGCTCCACCGAAGGCCCCAGTGGCAGGGTTCGCATGGCGGCCCCGCCCCATTTGGGCGCAGCCCTCACACGGTTCGTGGTCTGATAGGGAGCTCCAGAGAAGGCCCCAGTGGCAGGGTTCGCATGGCGGCCCCGCCCCATTTGGGCGCAGCCCTCACACGGTTCGTGGTCTAATAGGGAGCTCCAGAGAAGGCCCCAGTGGCAGGGTTCGCATGGCGGCCCCACGCAATTTGGGCGCAGCCCTCACACGGTTCGTGGCCCCATAGGGAGCTCCACCGAAGGCCCCAGTGGCAGGGTTCGCATGGCGGTCCCGCCTCATTTTGGCGCAGCCCTCACACGGTTCGTGGCCCCATGGGGAGCTCCACCGAAGGCCGTGGCAGCCTAGGGCCGCCAGGGGGCCACTGGGCAAAGAAGGGAGGGGCAGGTGTTGGCGGGCAAAGCGTCCCAGGTGCCCGCAGGAGCGGGACGGCACAGCACCGCAACGGGAGGAGGCGACACGGGGCCGCCGCGGAAGGAGGGGAGCACCGACGGGTGCGGAAGCCGGGTAGCAGCGCAGGGCGGCCCTCAGGGCGGTCAATCGTGGTGCGCCGGAGAAGCACCGAAGTGGTGCAGGGGAAGGTGAAAGAGTGACGAGCGTCCCACACCGGAGGTACGTCGCGAGGAGCGGCGGCGGGGAGCACCGAAAGAAGCAGACGCTGGGTAACGACGCTGGGCGACACACACACACACACACACACACGCATACACACACATACACACACACACACACACACACACACACACACACACACACACACACACACACACGCGCACGCACGCACGCACGCACGCACGCACGCACGCACGCACGCACGCACGCACGCACGCACACACACACACACACACACACGCGCGCGCGCGCATGGCACACAAGGCACACCCATGCAAGAGAAGTGAGAACCCCGAAACGCGAGCTCTGCTTGGGGGGGTTGGGGAACAGGCGCACCCCCTGGGCGCCAGCGCGGCCTGCCGCGCCCACCCGCAGGCGGCCGCCATCCACTCGGAGGTGCACCATGTCCTGCAGGCTGACGGGGTCCTGCCGGGGGGCGCGCCGCGCCCAGCAGGGCCAACCGCTGGTCGGCAGGTGGGGCGCGCTCTTCTTGGGGCACCGGGCGGCGCGCACCTCCATCAGAACCAGGAGCCGCCAAGAAGGCCCCTCCGAAGGCCCCACTTGCGACGCTCGCACGCGCCCGCCCAACTCAGTGCAGCGTCTCGTGGCCCCATACGGAGCTCCACCGAAGGCCCCAGTTGTGACGTTCGCATGCACCCGCCCCACCCAGTACAACGTTTCGTGGCCCCATGGGGAACTCCACCGAAGGCCCCAGTGGCGACGTTCGCATACGACCGCCCCACCCAGCAGCTCCATGGCCCCATAAGGAGCTCCACCGAAGGCCCAAAAAGCGGCACTGGCATGCGCCTGTCCCACCACGTACAGCGCTTCGTGGCCCTATGGGGAGCACCACCGAAGGCCTCAATCCACGTTCGCATGCGACCGCCCACCCAGCACAGCGCTTGTCATGGCCTCGCAGGGAGCTCCACCGACGGCCCCAGTGGCGACGTTCGCACGTGTCCTTCCCCCCCAGTAAAGCTTCGTGGCCCCATACGGAGCTTCACCGAAGGCTCCCAAAGCGACGTTCGCATGCGCCCGCTCCACCAAGTACAGCGTTTCTTGGCCCTCTAGGGAGGTCCACCGCAGGCCTCGAAATCCACGTTCGCATGCGTTCGCCCACCCAGCACACGGTTCGTCATGGCCCCATAGGGAGCTCCGCCGAAGGCCCCAGTGGCGACGTTCGCACGCGTCCCGCCCACCCAGTACAGCGCTTGGTGGCCCCATACGGAGCTCCACCGAAGGCCCCAAAAGCGACGTTCACATGCGCCCGCCCCACCACGTACAGCGCTTCGTGGCCCCATGGGGAACTTCACCGAAGGCCCCAGTGGCGACGTTCGCATGCGCCCGCCCCGCCCAGTACAACGTTCCCTATGGGGAGCTCCACCGAAGGTCCCAGTGGCGACGTTCGCATGCTGCGTCCGACCCACCCAACACAGCGTTTCGTGGCCCCATCGGGAGTTCCACCGAGGGCCTCAATGGCGACGTTCGCATGCGTACGCCGCACCCAGTATAGCGTTCGTGGCCCCATAGGAAGCTGCGCCGACAGCCCCAGTGGCGACGTTCGCATGCGTCGCCCCCTCATCTCTGAACCCCCCTCACGCGTTGCATGACCCCCTAGACACTACATACACCAAAAGCCCCAGTGGCGACGTTCCCATGCGCCCCCCCCGCCCGTTTCGGCACGCCCCTCACGCGCTTCGTGACCCCATACGGAGCTCCACCAAAGGCCTCAATGGCGCCTTCGCATGTGCCCCCCCGCCCATTTCGGCACACCCCTCACACCTGTCGTGTCCCCATATGGAGCGCCACCGAAGGCCTCAATGGCGACGTTCGCATGGCAGCCCCGCTCCATTTCGGCAAACCCCTCACACGCGCCGTGGTCCCGTAAGGGAGGGTATACCTTAGGCCTTCGGCCCCAATGGCAGCGCTTGCATGGTGGCCCGCCCCATTCCGGCACATCCTTTACACGCTTCGTGGCCCCATAAGGAGATCCACGGAAGGCGATACCCACACTGGCGATACTCACATCTGCACATAGTCGGGTCCTTCGCCAGAATGATTGTTTTTCGTGTTCGGCCTCCTGTGTGCTACACGTAAGAGTGACCCTAAGCAAGAGTGACCTTGAGCGCGCGACGTTCTAGAGTCGCAGGGAGGCCGAACTGGAGCCGCGCAAGCCGCTGCTATCGCATCGCACGAGGCCGTGTGAGGACCCCACTGTGCCCGCACAGAAGGTCACTCCAGCGAAAGGCCACTCTTACGCATAGCCAACCGATCCTGGGCCATCCGCCAGGGTGAAGAACGGGTCCCCGGAAAGAGGTCGAGATCCCTGGGGGTCCACGTCGAGAGAAACATGGCGTCGTCGGAAGAGGGGCCTCCTGGGCAAAGGCGGCGCGCACAGAGGTCTCGCCAGGTTCTTGGAGGTCGATGGTGATTGTCTTGGGGCGTTCGGGGGGGGCGCCTCTGCAGGCTCTGGTCTCCACGGCTGGACGAACGGCATCGGATCGGACCGTGCACCGCATCGGACCGCACCAGGATGGAACCGGGGCCGAATCGCGCCGGCCGAGCCAGGATGCACAACAGCGCCATCCAAGCATCGGGCCGCATCGGGTCGTCGGAGCACGGGGCCCCAGAACCGTGTGGTGCCGGACCGCGTGGGGACCTCGATATCCCCAACGACCTCACCGCGCGGTCCGTCACTGCACGGTTTGGGGGACCCTGGAGGCCCCAGTCGCCCGAGGCGTCCTCGGAGAGAAACCCGAGTTACAGAACCCGAATGCCCACTGACTCACCACACCTGGCCTCCTCCGAATGTTTGGCTTCCGTCTGGGCCACACTTAACTCGGGTCTGCGGCGGCCGTTCGGGACGATCTGGGCACCCCCGCAACGCCCTCGGCGAGGCGCAGATGCTGGAACGCATGCCGAGGCTGGAGAACCTCGTGGAACCGACGACAACGTACGAAAACCTGGAGCCTCGAACCTTGCGCTGGTCACCACACCGTTTGAAGGCCCCCGATGGCACCTTGGTATCGAATCGCATCGGGACGGCCGAGATACCGATACCGCTACTCCCTGGACCCCTCCCAGGGTGCAGTCTGACCAGAATTTCTAAAGAGGAATCCAGACGTTGCGACAAGGGCCTCCCAGGAGGCCCAAGAAAGGGAAAAAGAGAGAACGGTAGCTGTATCGGTACACGTCGGTCGGAAGAAGTAGGCAAAAACATCAAGTAGGAAGGCGGATAGAGTGGATTGTATCCAGGCGCTCCCAGAGAGTAACAAACACAGCAAACGCATGTGGCTCCTTGAAGTAGGTAGGCGCTTGCAGTAGATTGCGATCTGTGAATCCAAAAACATATACGGCCAACGACTGGCATATGCCTTTTTCTCCTCGGAGCATCGGCCCAGCCGAGACCGACCTCCAGCCGGAGCCGATGGGATCGGAGCGGGGCCCTGCATGGCCAGGCGCGGTCTGGGGGGGGCCCGCTCCGAGCGGCTGGTGCGGGGAGCGGAGGGGGGGGGCGCGAGGCAGGCGGCCCTCCGATCGGGAAGGCGCAGGACTCGGTTCCGGAGGACTCGGGTTGGCCCGACGGGGCCGTCGGGAAAATGCCGAGACCCGAGCGAAAATTTGACGCGACCTCCCGCTGCAAGCATCACGCGAAATCTGGACCGTCAAAATCCAGGACGGGCCCGTCGAAAAGCGTCTGTAAGTCCAAGTTCCGGCGCACTCGAAACTTGCGTTTCCCCGATCTGAGAACGGGAGCAGGGGGAGGAGGAGGCGGGATGTCGCCACCAATCCCTGCCCTCTCACAGGCACGCCTCGCCCCCCAGCCCCCCAAGTGTGCGCGCCGCCCGGAGTGCCTCGGACGAGCCGGGCTTCGGAGACCAGCCGCTGAGGAAGTGGGGCGCCCCCGCCGTGGGGGTCACGGGCGGGGCCGAGCGCGCAGGGCCACATCCGCGCGGCGACAGCTCAGCCGTCTTTGCGAGAATCTCCAAGACCGGAAATATCGGGCGTGCGACGCGTGGGCTCACAAGGCCGGGTCCTGGCATGCATGGCCTCACTGTCGTGACGGGGAAGAGCCGATCCCGAAAGCATGTCCCGGAGCCTGCCCGCTAGCCATGACTTGCGACCTTCTCGAAAGTCGGACACGGTCCTATCCGGCTAGCGTTGCGAACACTGATCTGCACATCCCAAAAACAAACAAAAAAGGAGCGCACCAAAATGTTTGAGGTCATCATGTAACGAAACCTGACAGTCCAGCACGACAACTAACATCTTACAACAATTCACAACTTTAAGCGAAAGATGCGGGTCCTGGAACCGTTTTTTCCAATCCCAGGGCTCGTGGAATGTCTCGGGAGGCCGAACGCGGCCGAAATCATGCCGGACCCCTATCATGTCAACATGCGATCGGCTCAGGACACGTTCTGGAAATTCCGGAATATCTGGCGGCACCCGTAAACCTCGGAACGCATCGCTATCGTGACTTCTTGCCCCTCTGCTCCAGAACCTGTTAGGCGGGTTCTGGGAACCCTGAGACTGGGGGTCCGCTGGCTTCCGCCCGCCTTCCGCCAGCTTCCGCCGACAGAGCCGCACTCGTCTTTCACTTTCGTCAGCGTCCGCCGACCTTCCGCCGCCTTCCGCCGAGGACGAGATGCTAACTCCTCCGACTCTCGAGGGCAAGGCCCTTCCTGGAACGCCTCATAGGTGCACACGTGGTGTACAAATATGTGCACGTTTGGTCGTCACCTAAAACAGGGCAAGGATCGGGATAAATCGCTCCAGAGCGTTCCGGAGCGCTCTCAGAGCGTTCCGGAACGCTCTGGAGCGGCCGCGGCGCCCAATACATCCTCCAAACCCGCCGATTCTCAGAGATTTCGAGTTATCCCGATCCGATTTTGTCCCGAACTTCGCGTCGTTTTATCACCCCTCTTGGCCTGTCCCCCGATCTGTGGAGACCTGGCCCCCCCGAGGCCAGCCCCTCCCGCTGCGGGCGGGGGGGGCTTCCTGGGGCGCG